CGCGCGCGGTGCGCGCCTGTCCAAACTGGTTAGAGAGAAGTAGCAACACCTGCATGGCCCTCTACGCGGCATTCCCTGGCTGCACCAACGGAGGGCTCTGGTGGTCCAGGGAGCGCAGCTGTGTGCCCAGGAATCTAAGCAAGATGTGCTCCTAACAGTGGGGTAGAGGGGCTTCCTAAGAGAAGGTGGGGTCACTGAGGAAGACTCTTGTATACTTTGAGGACACACTTCCCATCCGTGGTTAAAACAGACCTCCCCGGGAACAAGTGTGCTTCCAGGCCCGGGAGACATACAGGAAGAGGAGCTGCCTCCTTCCCGGGCTGTGATTATAAACTGTATTCCTAGTATTCTCTGAGCAGTCTGGGCATGAAGGACTGGGGTTCCGAGTACAGACTAGACCAGAGACTGAGGGTCATCCTAGAAGGACTGGGGGTACATCTCCACCCCCGACAGCCTGTGAACCGATGGGACTCTGCTTCTCAGCCCAAGCTTTCAGCCGTCTCCTGGGCTCCCAGCCCTGGTGGCATAGTGGTTCCGCTTTGGGCTACAAGCTGCAAGGCCCACAGTTCGAAACCACCAGGCACTCCAAGGGCAAAAAGTGCGGCTTTCTACTCCGTAAAGAGCTTCAGTCTTGGAAACCCACAGGGGCAGTTCTACCCTGTCCTGTAGGGTCACCACGAGTCAGAATCAATCCGATGGCAATGTAAGTTTGGTTTGGTACTCCCAGCCAGCCTGGAGCTGCCCGGCCCGCAGGGCCTGGGGCTCCTCTTCCTTATGTAGAACAGACAAAACAAATAGAACTCCCCTGATGGTGTAGTGGGTTACACGCTGGACTACTAACCAGAAGGTCGGTAGTTCAAAACCACCAGCCACTCTGCAGGAGAAAGATGAGGCTTTCTACTCCCATAAAGATTTACGGTCTTGGAAACCCACAGGGGCAGTTCTACTCTGCCCTGTGGGGCTGTTTTGAGTTGGAATCGACTCGATGGTCATGAGTTTGGTTGAGTTGGGGGTCCTGATTTGGGGAGTAGGAGCAGGAGACTATAGCGATGGAAAAGGGGCAGAATGCAGGGAAAGCCTCCAGAAGGAGGTGCTGGAGCTCATCCCAGACCACTCACATCAAATGAGAAGCTGGAAACAAGTTGAGCATCCACCAAGTACCAATTAGCTCCTGGTAGCTAATGAACTCGCATTGCTCTGACGAGGGATCGCCTTGATGGCAACAGGTTTAGTTGGTTTGGGTTTTAGCTAATGAACCATTTTCTTCGTTAGGACCAAAGTGCTGCCCCCACGGCTGCTGGAAGCATGAGGGTGAGAGAGGGTGGAGGACAGACTGTTGCCATTAACCAGTCCCTGGGCTGCAGGACTGCATAGCAAAGGCAGCTAATGGCAGTGGAAAGGATGTGATTGATTTCGCCACTCCCCGGTCTCTGCCGGCTGCTTCCTCTTGCTCTGTTTACCTTTTCCATGGGATCTTTTCCTTTAGAAAGACAGAAACAGGGAGGAAAATAGCTCCCGGGAGAAACAGGGGGGAGAGGGAAGAACAACGGGGGCTGCCAGCATTGCATTAAGTTCCTTCTAAAAACCCCGCCAGAGCCTCCTAACTGAGGTTGGGGGTGTCTCGCCTGAGGACAGCTGCTTAAGCTGTGGTCCCTGCAACCTTTCAACTCCGCTGAAGACGGAGACACCAGCGAACAAGCCACAGAGCAACTAAATGCTGAGCCTTCTCCACATGCCAGGCTCTGCAGCCAGCTTAGCCTACAGGACCCCTGGCACCCCCCGCCGTCTACAGATAGGCACTGCTTTCATGCCCCCCTGCACAGGAATGACCTGGGGTTCAGAGACATGAAATAACTTGTCCAGGGATAGAATCCGCTTCTAGGGGCCAGTGTGGCAGTCCTTGGTTGTGTGAATGGTTAACCCTCTTGGCTGCTCACCTGAAGATTGGAAGTTTGAATCCACCAAGATGTCCCTCTGAAGAAAGACCTGGTGAGCTACTTCCAAACATCCAGCCGCTGGAAACCCCCATTCTACTCGGACACTCGTGGGGTTGCCGGGAGTCAGAGTCAATTCAGTGGCAACCTGTGGGGGCCAAGGCAGA